GTTCGCAGTCAAGACCACATTTTGAATCAGGCAGAACTTGTAAATTGCCGTTTCTGTCCTTTAAAGTCTCGCTGGTACATTTCTCTGATGGTGACTCCAAACAGCCAAATTGATTCTTTACGCCAAAAGTCGAGCTTACAGCTTTCTCCAAGATTATTCCCAACCATTCATGGGTGCTTCCAGAAAGTTCACAGTCATGATAACAGCCTGCTCCAGCTCTCCAACGCAGCTACACATAATTCAGTCTGAGTGCTGCCAAGCTTCGACACATCCACACAAATTTGTAGGCAATCCAGATTTCACCTTCCTAAACCACAGAATCTAGTTGTCCTCATGAATCCAATTTGTTTCCATTGAGGTAAGAGGGTCCTACTTACCCTAACTTCCTGTCGGGAGAAGTTGATCAATTTTGTTCAGAGACCAGCTGATCAGATCCTTCAAATTAGGAAGATATGCAGGAAAAAAGAGGCTCTTTAAGGGTTCACAAGACGAAAATGAGCAAAGCAGGGAAGTGGGGGGATGGAGCACAGAAGGACATGTCTGTCTTCATGGGAGCACCGAAAGAGAGAGAAAAAAAGGTTTCCATACATGCTCGCATGCATGGAAACGCATGGGTTTTCTCCAGGTACTTTGGTTTCCTCCCACAGACCAAACACATGCATGTTAGCCTGATTGGTATCTCTAAAATGTCTCTAGGTGAGAGAGAGCGAATGAATGGTTGTTTGTCTTGTTTGTCTCTATGTGTCCCTGTGATGAACTGGAGACCAATCCAGGGTGTCCCCTGTCTCTCACTCATTGATGGCTGAACATGGGCACCAGCAACCCCTGCAACCCAAAAAGGAAGAAGCGGGTAAAGATAATGGATGGATGTACAGATGGATGGAAATTTCTCTTCAAAACCTAAAGTGCACAGTCTTTAATAATTCATAAATAAATAAATGGTTGTATTTCATGTATAAGTGTCACATTGTTAAAAAACATTTTGGTCATTGACAACTTCTCTACCATATTTAATCAAATTGACTTTTTCTTCTGTTTGTGTAGTTGAATGCCCTCCTACATGGACTTTGTATCAAGTATATTGTTACCAGTACGAGAATACTGAAATGACCTGGTATGATGCTGAGGTACAACTCTTTAACCGTTCATTGTATTTGTGTGGCATGACGGTCTAGATTCAGTGTTGGGGCAGCTGTGGCTATGTGGTTAGAGCAGTCATCCTCCAATGGGAGAGTGGGGGTTTAATTCCACCAGCATTCACATGCTGAAGTGTCCCTGGGCAACCCCTCATTACCTTTGATGTGTATCCCATTGGTATATGAAGGTGATCTAAATCTCTGATTAGTCTATAGATTCAGATTAGCTTTGTATTGATGTAGTAGAGTGATGTATGAATGGGTGTGTGGAGGTAAATAAGGTAAAGCACTTTGAGTATCTTGATTATATAGGAAGGTGCTATATAAGTACAGTCCATTGACTGTTTTTGAAGTTAAAACTGCATCATGACAGTTTTGAACTGAGAAAGTTCCTCAAATGAGAAGCAGAAATACAGAAACAAGAACAGCTGTTCCTTCAATGATTATTTTTACTAGATGTTCCTTAATCTAAAGTTCTTCTTCCTTTTCTTCTTCCTCTTTTGGCTTTTCCCTCTTCAGGGGTTGCCACAGTGAGTCATCCTCCTCCACCTCACTCTGTCCTCTGTATCCTCTGTCCTCATTCCAAATACCTTCATGTCCTCTAACTGCATCCATATATCTCCTCTTTGGCCTTCCTCTTTGTCTTTTTCCTGGCAGCTGCATTTCTAACATCCTTCTACCAATATACCCACTGTCCCTCCTCTGGACATGTCCAAACCACTGTCCCTCCTCTGAACATGTCCAAACCATCTCAGTCTGGCTTCCCTAACTTTAACTCCCAGTTGTTCAACATGTGCTGTACCTCTGATGATCTCATTCCTAATCTTATCCAACCTTGTCACTCCTAAGGAGAACCTAACATATTCATTTCTGTCCTAATGCATGCTCAATAATCCAGGTAGAAAAATCCAAAAAAGTTAAATCTGGTCCTCTGAAC